TTTGTCTCTTGTTTCCTGCTCTCTTATAGCTGTGGTTATGTGTTTCCATGTCCTTAACTGTGTTTGGTGGTTATGTCTTATTGGAAAAATCCGTGATGAGACTAATTGTTTTGTATTTTCCCATAAATTGAATGCTTGCTTGCCTAGTAGGAGTTTATGCTCCAAGTAGACTTTTGCACTTTTTTTATCCATGTTTAAGGATCATTTAATGATATGTTTGTTTCATTCACCAAAAACAGGATTATTATCATCATTGAGCTGGATATGGTACTTGACAGATGTGATCTGATTGGAGAACCTGTTGCTGCGCCAAGAGCTGCACCTGCATCATCTTCCACTGATCAGTCTGGAGCTAACACAGGAAATCCTCAGTCTTTAACCAGTACTTCACCTGCAGGTGGCAACATTGCTAGACCGAATGTGACTGGGCCATCTCTAGATCATTCACAAATCAATCACAATAACAATGGTGCAAGATATGGTGCTGCAAATGCCCCTCCTTCATTGCCTAAAACAGAGCCTAGAGCTACACCTACTTTACCAAAATCAGGGCCATCAAGTGGGTCCTATGGTGAACATAACATGGGATTTTGCAATCCTCGACCGGAAACTCCAAGACCCCCACAAAATGCCTATATTCATCCACCACAGCCTATGCATAGACAGCCATCTCCAATTTACAATAACAGGGGACCAATATCCAGAAATGAAGCTTTGCCAAGGATAATTCCAATAGCTGCATTGAACCCATACCAAAACATGTGGACAATTAAGGCTAGAGTTACATCAAAGGCAAGCCTCAGGCAGTACAACAATGCCAGAGGTGATGGCAAAGTGTTTTCTTTTGATCTTCTTGACTCTGATGGTGGAGAAATTCGTGCAACTTGCTTTAATGCAGTGGCTGAACAGTTCTATCGTCTAGTTGAAGTTGGTAAAGTATATCTGATTTCCAGGGGGAGTATAAAGCCGGCTCAAAAAAATTTTAATCATCTTCCTAATGATCAAGAACTGACCCTTGATCTGACATCCATCATACAGCCATGCCTTGATGATGACAAATCAATTCCAATGCGTCTTTTTAATTTTCGTCCAATTAGTGATGTTGAAAGCATGGAAATTTCGAGTGTTGTGGATGTGATTGGTGTGGTATTTTCTGTCAGTCCTACAACCTCAATCATGAGAAAAAATGGTACTGAAACTCAGAAGAGAGCCCTCCAGTTGAAGGACATGTCTGGCTGTAGTGTTGAATTAACCCTATGGGGAGATTTTTGTAGTGCAGAAGGACAACGGTTGCAGAATACTTGTGACTCAGGTGCATTTCCAGTTTTGGCTGTGAAAGCTGCCAGGGTAAATGAATTCAATGGGAAGGCCCTTGGGACCATAGTCAATAGTCAGCTATTTATAGATCCTGATTTTCCTGAGGCTTACAGGTTGAAAGAATGGTTTGACAAGGAAGGGAGGAACGTACCAACTATTTCTATTTCCAGAGAATCATTCAATGCTGGTAAGAATGATATGAGGAAGACTATATCTCAGATTAAAGATGAGAAGTTAGGGACTTCAGAGAAGCCTGATTGGATTAGCATCTGTGCAAGTGTTTCATTCATTAAGGCCGACTCATTCTGCTATACAGCCTGTCCCATCATGATAGGTGATAGGAAATGTAGCAAAAAGGTGTCCAATAATGGAGACGGAAAGTGGAGGTGTGATAGATGTGACCAGTATGTTGATGCATGTGAATATAGGTATATACTGCAACTCCAAATACAGGACCACACTGGGCTAACATGGGTAACTGCATTTCAGGAGTGTGGTGAGGAGATAATGGGCTTACCTGCCAAAGATCTTTATTATATGAAATATGAAGATCAGGACGATGAAAGATTTGCACAAGTCATCCGTAAGGTTCTTTTTACTAAATACATATTCAAGTTAAAAGTTAAGGAAGAGACATTTGGTGATGAACAACGTGTGAAGTCAACAGTGGTGAAAGCAGAGAAGGTTAACTTTTCATCTGAATCAAGATTTCTTTTGGATTTGATTGATAAGCTTAAAGCTGAAAAGGTAGAAGGTATCAATCCTCATTCTCTAATCAGTAATACTGGACATCAGAGTGTTGGAACTGGCCTGGCCAATGCCACCAGCTTATAATCCTATAAATAGCAACAGTGGTGCGAGTAGAGAATATGGGATGCCAGCAAATCAAGTGGGTCAGTATGAGCACCAATATAGGAGTTCTTTTGCTTCAGCTGGGTCTTCTAGTTCATTTATGCCTTGCAGCAATTGTGGAGGCTCTGGCCATAGCTCTATGCATTGCCCGAACATTGCAAGTTTGCCTCGACAGTCCATGGGAGGAGGGGCCTTTGCAAATAGGGTATCTTCTGGGGCAGGTGTTAGTGTTGCAACTGGTGAATGCTTTAAATGTCATCAAACTGGTCACTGGGCACGAGACTGTCCTGGTCTCAACGTAGCAGCCCCTTCAGCTTATGGAAGTAGTGTTGTTCATGGAGGACATGGGTTTGTTCAAAGGCAACAGCTTGGCGGATTTTGAAGTTCTATTGAAAATGAGAGATGCTTTAGTAACATTATGATGGATTTTGGCATTGATTCATTGACTGCTTTTTTATGGTTGAGTAATCTGTACAGCTTGGTTTGTGGAAGCCATTTTTGATGGCATCAAGCTTCAAAAGTCATGGATTTCACTTTCCTTATCATTCTGTTGAACATTGAGCGGCTTGCTGCTCTGTCTTGGTTCTTCTGTATAGACACGGTTTATGAAGCAATGATTGGCACCTTTATATCGGATTGGATTTTGTTAGTACGCATAAAACTTCAAGCATGACTCATGCGCTCTGAGAGAAATTTCTGTTTCTTAAGCCTCCCTGTGACTTTTGTAATGTATCAAGATGGTTTATGTTAGTTAACTTAGAAGGCCGTACTGCAGATTCTCACTGAAAACTCCCTTTGTTTATGGGATCATCAGAATAACTGTTACTATGTGATTGCTTCAACCCGACTTAGTTCTTAGACCCAACTTTTTTTATGCAATTCTATTCCATGTATTTTAGATATTATTACTTTTTACAAAACTAATCCGCATATCGTTCTAAATATTGTTACTTACCTTTCAATTTATAAAATATTTTTAGAAAAGATTCAGTGTATTAAAATACAAAACACTTTGATAATAATAAAATTTTATTAATTATGTTTTTCTAATACTATTTTTTTCTTTTATTTTCTTTTTAATTTTTTTATGAATGAAATACTAAATAAAAGGTATTTTAAAAAATTTATGTTTTTGCTTTAAAAAAATAAAATTATAAAGTATCTTTAATGAAATTTATTAGTATACTAATTTTATTTAAAAATATCTTATAAATTGAGATGCATAGAGTATTACTTTTTGTAGAATTATTACACTAATATTATTCTGAATTTAATTTTTATAAGTTTGATTTAACGGTCTATTTTGTTGAAGTTGCATGGCAGGGAGTGATTTTGTTGAAGTTGCAATGAGTTTGATTTAAAAAAAAAAAGGAAAAATAAGGTAAATTTATTAAAATAAATTTTTATTTATATTTTAAATTTGTACAAAGATAAAAAAAATCTTAAAATAAAATAAGTGGTTATTTATGCACATGGACAAATGTTATGGACTGGTTGTTGAACCAGTCTATTGGTTTATGATTCAATAATTGAATTGTGTTTTGAATCATGGTTCAATCGATCATAAATAAATTAATATTTTAAATATTATATGTTTAAAGTATAAATACATAATTATATATAATAAGAAAAATGAATATTTAAATTTCAAACAAAATAATATACAATAAAAAAAGATAGTATCCATCAATATTACATTGTTTTCATCCAAAATATATACACACATATATAATTCATGCAGATTTCTTGCATTTTTTTTATTTCATAACACTTATTAGATATAAATATGAATACATTATAATTTAAAAATATGAATTAAAAATAAAAAAGTAACATGTTCAGTTCAAGCGGCTTGTTGTTAGTTTTATCAATTTTAGCTGATTCGACTGGTTCATGGACAGTTCACAGAATGAGCTGTTTTTTTGTTGCAATCGGATTGGACTTATTATCGATTCTCGATTTAGCAAGTCAGATTGGTTGGGCCGATTTAATTCTAATATCACTAGTTTGAAGTAATAAATTTTAAAACTTAACATGTTTAAATTTTAATTTATCTAGTGATCAGAATGGTTCATCGAACAAAAAAATGATCACCAAATGATAAATTAATAATTTTTATAATTTTAATATTTGTAAAATAAGAAATTCTAAAATAAACTATATGAAAACAAAAGAAGAAATTATTTATATTTTTAATATGTACTCCATTTGTTTAAAAATATAAAACATTTTTAACTGAATTTCACTTATAATAAAGTAGTTATCTACTTTCAAATTAACCCTATTTTTTTATATTATCTCTATTAAACACCTTATAATAAATATAAGGGTACTATCACATTTTTTTAAAAAAAGACAATGATTACTTTAAAAAACTAAAAATATCTTACATTTTTTAATATCAAATTTTTTAAAAAATGTTTTATATTTTTTAATGGAGGAAGTACTCATTAGTTGAAAAATATAGCAAATTCTTTTAAGGGTTAAATATTAAAAAATATAAAATATTTTTAGTATTTCAAAGTATGATGATCACATTTTTTATAAAAGTGCTGAATAAATAACTTTATGATTATTTTAAAGTAAAATATCTTACTAAATAAAAATAAATATAAAAAAACATTAATTTAAAGATATGTAATTATTTTATTAAAAAATAAAATTAGTTTTAAAATATTTTATTTTTTTCAAACTGAACGGAGGATTAGAGCTCGCAGTTTTCACTTTCCACCATAAAAATATTATAATCTTATTTATCTATTTTTTAAAGTTAAATTTATTAAAATCGTCCCCGCATCTCCTACGAGGAAAACATTGATTATTGCGATTTCTGCGCCACAAAAAATTGTCTCTTAAGCCCCACCGGTTTCAAGCAGTAAAGTAAAACACGTGACAATATCCTGTGTTGTCGTGCTCTCGCATCTGTGGCAGCCACACGTCCTTCCCGCTCTCGGGTTAATCAATCACCGTCCGGCGACGATTACTCCGGTTTGGTTTCCCTTTCCAGACTCCTTCGCCGTTTCCAATTTCAGTATTGATCACTTTCTCATCGGAGTTCAGTTCATTTGGTTTTCGAGTCGTCGTCGAAGATGGATATATGGGCTTTTTAGGGTTCATATGGATCTATCTTCTGGCTTAATACGGCCTAGAATCTTGGATTTTTTGCTGGCGTCTTGGAACACCAACGGTTTTCAATAATTGGACTCTGTTTTAAACTCTTGAACCGTCTGTTTACTTAATTCCCTTTTCTTGATGCTTCCTGATATTGTAGACCTGTAGTCGCGCGTTGTTTAGTCCTTTTAGTTCAATTCATGATGTTAAATTTTTAATAACTGTCTCGCCAAGTCGCCAATGACATAATAGCTTCTCCTGAAGGCTTAGGTGCTGATTTTACTACCTCAATTAGTTTAGTAGAACTGGGAACTATTCATATTTTGCGTTGGAAACGATGAATACGAATGTTTCTATGTCAATTGCCGATCGAGACGTTGACCCTTTTGATTTGTAATGCGCGAATTAACTTAGGGACAGTTTTACTCGCATCTATATATTCTCACAATTTTTTTCTTTGTTTTAGGAGTTGCTTTGATAATAGGAGTTAATGGACTTACTAAAGGGAATGGGTGAAGATGGATCTGAATGCTCCTTTGACGTGAAAGACATCCAAAGGTGCCCATTTTTGAGAAATATCAACAAACCTACAAACTTCTGCTTTTCTTCATCAAGTATTAACATTCCTGTAAGTTGTCTTTGCAGTTTCGTTGAAACTTGTTTCTGAATGTTGAAATTCAATCCGGTTCAGTATTCTAACCTAGTGCTTTAATTCTAATTATTCAGGTGCCGGGAGCCAAGGGTCCTATATTTGAAGATGGTCCTAATTTTGGCATGGCATTTAAGCTCTTCCATGGGAAAGACGGAATTATTCCCCTCTCTGAGAAATCTGACTTACACAATGATAGCACAGAACCTGACCCTCTGCCTGCTTTCAACCCTTTAGCTGCAAAATTTGCCACCATAAGTCTGTCATCCTTTGGGCCTGGTGGTATGTTCAGTTTCGATAATTTCTCTGAGAAATGGAAGAAGCAAAAGAAGACTGAACCATCAATCAAAAGGGAAACTTCATCCCTGGTAAACATTTTTCTTTAGGCACCTCAACATGAGTTTTATGCTGGTAGGAAGCATTTAACTATTTATATAATATGGGCTGGAGACTATCCAAGGCAGAGCATGCATTAATATGATAATGTGAAAGAAAAACCTGCACTTCCCATGTTTGAATTAGTGTCATCTTATAATTATAAATATAATACTTTTGTCATATATTAGCAATGATTTTGTTATTGGGTTGAGGCTTCGAGGGCAAGGTTTTTATGATTCTTCTGAGCTTGATTAAATCAAGTTAGCTTACTTATCAAGTTTCAACTACTGAAAGAAAATCTTGGAGATGTGACTTATATTGCTTCTTTGTTCTCCTGTTGAGCTCTCTGTCAGAAAGGAGATTCATCAAAGCATGAGGCACTTGGAAATGAATGGTTGGAAACAGGGAACTGTCCTATTGCCAAGTCTTATAGAGCTGTAAGCCATGTTCTACCCCTTGTTGCTTCGGCTATTCGGCCACCGCCTGGAATGAAGATTAGATGCCCACCTGCAGTTGTTGCTGCGAGGGCAGCCCTTGCACGCACAGCATTAGTGAAAAACTTGCGTCCGCAGCCTCTTCCTGCCAAAATGCTTGCAATTGCAGCCTTGGGTATGGCAGTTAATGTTCCCTTGGGTATTTGGAAGGAACACACTAAAAAGTTCTCCCTATCATGGTTTGCAGCAGTGCATGCAGCTGTTCCCTTTATTGCCATGCTTCGGAAGTCAGTGCTGATGCCTAAATCAGCAATGGCTTTGACAATTGCAGCTTCTATCCTAGGCCAGGTTCTTGGCTCTAGAGCTGAGCGTATCCGACTGAAAGCTATATCTGAGAGGGGGCAAGCGGTCACTGAGGCAGCGAGTACCGTTTCTGTTTATAATCCGAGCAAGCACGGTGACTTTAAGAATGGTCAATGTGGCACAGATGGGATGGCTGTGGACTCAGTTTCCATGAAGGAGGATCGTCCAACTTCAGCAGCCAGTGTCTGTTATTGACCACACTGAGATCCGTCCGTGTAAGAATGTAACTGATGACCAGAGGTCATAATATGAAATTCCAAGAATAACAATAAAAGCATCATTAATTGTGTGTGTGTGTGTGTGTGTGTGTGTGTGTGAGTGTGTGATATGTTATTCAGGCTTACGGCATCTTGTGCAGAAAAGCATTGGAGCCTGAGTTTAATACCTTATAAGGAATAGCAGCTTTTACTGCATCATAAAGTGTTAACGGGACCAAGAAATAAAACCCTTAAACTGGATGGGCCGTCGTGGTTGAACTGTGCACAGTGCGGCTATGCTAATGATGTTTGGTTGAAGGAAGCAGGTGGCTTGGGATGAGATTTGGAAAAGCATTCCTTACTTAGCACGTGTTTGATGTTTGGTTGTATGGTGAGGCTTTTGATTCCTTCATTCCATTTTTTCCCTTCATAGTTATGGTGCCAAAAAAAAAAAATGGCACCACTTTTTGCTGAAGGCATTCCCATCTGAATTTTGATGGAATCACTGACAGATGCAGGCGCCACCGACCCTCGAAGTAGATCCTCTCCTTTTCTCCTCTCTCCTTTACTTCTCATCCTATCTCCACTATTGGATGAGGAAGGAATGGTTCATATTTAATTGTATTATAAAATAATTATCATAATATTATACAATGTTTCAGTGCAGTTTAATCGTTTAAATTTATTTATTTATTTTTTATATGATATTATGATAATTATTTTGTAAAATACAGTTACATCTGAATCATTCTTTCTATATTTAAGAGTGAAGATGGAATGAGGAGAAGGAGAGGAGAGGATTCGGACCCAACCCCTCTCCAACTATTGTGCGTGCGTTGTTTGGATAACACAATTGTGCTGTGTCGGTGAAAATGTTTTACGTGGCCAATTGGTAGGATAGGCCCATTTCATCAATATACGGAAGGGAACGAGTAGACAAAAAGGCCTTAGCCCAAGGAACTCAACTCTAAAGCAATACCAAAATTGAACAAAATAAAGAAACTAGCCCAAATAACACAAAGAACGCAAGGACCACACCCCCAGGCAATTGTCCTCATTGTCGTAGAAAGTTCATTTTTTTTTTAAATGTTTAATTAAAACACTTGATGAGAAAAACATTAAAAAAAAAATTAATTATTCCCTTTAATAATTAATTGCAGACCACCGCGTCGAAAACTAGGGATTGAGCTGAGCACCGTCTTTTTGTTTGGTGAGATTTGCTTCGTGCAGTCAAGATTCCAATGCTACGTTCACGTCTCATATCATTTCCATTTTCCACGCCCTTTTATTATTTTGTTATATATTTATCCCTTCCTTTAAAAAAATGTTCAATAATTCACAAAGTCTTAAATAAAAATCCAGTCAGTCATCTCTACCTGCCCTTCCCCATTTAATTGTAGGGAAAAAAAAAAGTAATAATTATTTTATCGTAGTTTCTTTATCGCTTAGCAAGCAAGATCACCAATAATAATAATAATAATAATAATAATAAACAAAAAATAAAATTTGTGTAACTTTTAGCTTGGCAATTCCATGTTTAGAAGCTTTCAAAAAAGGTGCATCCATGTTAGTGTTGAAATTTATATAGGAGTATTACTATTACTATTATTATTGTTATATCTTTACAGCTTTTTTTAAAGGATATTTTAGAGTGAGATGTCAGAACACTAAGGATGGGAAACATAACTGGGGAGATCGCAAGCACGTTTTGTAACACAGCACATGCTGGTGTTTCACATCGTGCTTCCTCAATCTAACATGTTTGATTAACATAAATAATAAAATAATACGAATGGAATATAATTTTAAAAAATAGTTAAATACTAATAACTTAAACATCACAGCATCTTACAGCAGTTATTTTTCCCCTCTTTAGTCAGTTTCTAACATGTTTCATTAGGGGTGTTCATTCCGGACCCGTCCCGATTGGCCCGGTATCGTCTCGATCATATCGGGACGGGTCTTGTCCCGGCCCGAAAATAATTGGGACGGGACTTTACGGGACGGGACAAGAAAGGAGTGCGGGACGGGACGGGACACGGGATTACCATCGGGACGTCCCGTCCCGTCCCGAATATTATATATATTATTTTTTATTTTAAATATATTAATTATATCAACATAATCTATACTTATATTAATTATATCAATTATAATTTTAATACTTGTAATTCTTATTTAAAACTAAAGTTGTTTTATATTGATAATTTTAATGGCATGGAGTAAACATGGTGATATCTTTCTTTATAATATATTAATTATATTAATATAATTTATTCTTATATCTATCTATTTAATAAATTTTCTTTATAACATATTTCTTACTTATTTTTAGAAGAGTAATTGGCTTAATACATCTTCACTAAAGAAGAAGAACAATTATTTAATGTTGTGTTTGATTTGCCTGTTGTTGCTAATCTTATAGCATAAAGATCACTTGCATTTTTTATTATAATATGTAGTTGTGATTAATATAATTCAATAATTGATTTTAAATTATTGTTATTTATGTACTTGCGTTATTTTGATTTTAAACTTAATAAATTATATAATTTAAAATTTTAAAAAACATTATTATTCAGATTTTTTTTTTCACATTATTCCATTTATCGGGACGGCGGGACGTCCCGATCTTGTCCCGGTCCCGTCCCGACTCTTAACGGGACGGGACACGGGACCAAAATTCAGTCCCGATATTTTTTTCGGGACGGGACACGGGACGGGGGTGTCCCGGTCCCGTCCCGTCCCGTGAACACCCCTATGTTTCATATTGTGGTTACTATATCTAACATGTTTGAGAAAATAAATAATAAAATAATATAAATCAATTAGGAAAGGAAACTAAATAATAAATAGCATGTCACAGACATTTTAGCTCCCTCATTATACACTTGGCTTGGACAGATATTGAATTTGGATTGGTATCAGATACTAAAGTGTTACAACCTGTTTGGCACTTTGTCTTTTTTTTTTTTTTTTCTGGGTGGTTGGCCAAAATACACATATACACCTTTTCGCAAGTTTCTTGTTGATAAATACCTAATTCCCAATTCAAACTGAGAAATTTGAAGCATTAGGCAATAATTCATGCGGCTAATGAGGTGGTTCAATTTCGAGTTGAGATTTATTCACTCACTGATTCTACTCTTCTCGAGATAGTCAAAAATAAGAGTCCCCAAGGACTAGCATTGTATTTTAATTTAATGTAATCTACTGGTAGACTACTCCTCCTGTCTGTGTTACTGTTAAGAAAAAGGAAAAAGTGGAACATTTAACATGATAATCCAAAAATAAATGCCAAACAACCAGGGACAGATCTGGAACCAATTTTATGGGGGCCAAAATGTCAAATTACATTGTTAATTTTAACATTTTTAACAAATAAAAATCAGGTAAATTTAACAATTTTTGTGTACCTTGCCTGTCCCTATAAATTCTTGCAAATGGGCGAGGATTCTCCCCTCTCCTTGTAATGATCTAGTTTTGATTTCCTATATAATAGTCCCTTTATTTTGTTTTTACTGTAATTTTTAATTGTTCATTTTAATTTTAGCAGCATGAATTTTAATATTTTGTATTTTTATAACTTAATATTTTAATAATAATTTTATAAGAGATCTAAACTAAATCATTCGAATCTTAATTTAATAATTATTAAACAAAGAAAAGAAGATAAAATGGACGAACTCCTCGCATTAATTATACTACATGCGTCAGCCGCGCTTTCACTGTTTCCCAAAAAAGAATTGGAATATTTAAATGCGACTCAACTAGACAAGCTAACGCGTTCATTGACAGCGATGATCATAATCATAAACTGACAAAAGAAATAAAGTGAGCGAACAGATGCATGTGGATGTAGGCGTGTTTTTTGTCGATTATTTCCAAGATTACAATTAAATCCCTACATTATGGAGTAATTAATTATGGATAATGTGCAAATTTAATTATAAATTATTTTTTAAGAAATATTGAGTATATTATACTATGATGCAATGTAAATAAATTCATCAGCTAAAAAAAAACAAAGCATCGTGTATCTTTTATCAAATTTTAACAAATGATTGTTTATAAAAATTGTGAGATTGACATTCATTTAACTCTCTCTCTCTCTCACATTGCACTCTCTCACTTCAGCAACTCTTCCATCTCTCTCCCTCTTCCTCTCCCTCTCTCTCACTCATGAACAACCCCATCTTTATATCTCTTTCTTTACCACAATCACACATATGCAAATTCTTCATTCTTCATGCTCTTTTTCATTTTTCATTTCTATCATTCACAACCTAACTCAATCTCTTGCAACCTAAAAGCCTTCCATATGACAATTATGGACACCAAGATTGGATCTCTTGACGCATGCAAATTATTCTCATTGCAATCCACTAGTTCCATTGCCTTGTACAACTTATCTTTGGTCACAATCTTGTTGTCTTCTTCATCTAGCACTTGAAAAGCTGTTTTGAGCACATTCCCCAGCTCCTTGCACTCCAAGTCCTTTGTGCTCAACTCCAAGAACTATTGAATGCTCAGCAGCTCATTCTTATTCTTGTCGCCTTCTCCCATTATCCTCCTCACTAGGGTTGTACATAAAACTCAGTGGTCTAGGTAACTCAATTTAGCCCCAGCAAACCAACTCAACCTAATTTGGAGAAGTAACTTGATGCAAAAACCAAACCAACCAAACTAGATTGATTGGACTAGATTGGATTCCAGACTAAGCTATCACACTTATTAGTCTGGTATAGCCAAATATGATATATATATATATATATATATATATATATAATGCTCTAACAATGTCATTTTCATTTAATCTCTAACCTTTCAATTTCATTTCTTCCACATTCCAAGTCTTCCTCTTCAGTTTGCACTCTACAGCATTTTCCTCATCTTCCCAAACTCGCCATCTATCCTTTCTTCTTTCCTTAATTCTTCCACATAGCCTCCCTATTCCTCGCATCAATCATTGTAGAGTTCAAAGCTCATGGATCTTTGAGGAGGAGTTTATGATGGTTCAATGATTGGTTAGTATAAAGATTCATATGTTTTCAAGCATTCTATTCTTGGGTTATAGCTTGAACATTGTCATTTTTGGGATTATTTCACAATGCCTCTGAAAATGTCCAAGCTTTGAAGGATCAATTCTTGTTTTTTTTAAAAAAATTGATAAATGTGATGATCAATTAATAATTATATCATCTTTAATGCATTCAAGATTTGAGGAATGGGATTCATGGTGATAGTTCCTATATCTTCAT